ATATTTTGGTGTCGGTTGTTTTTTTTGCCAAGGAGGGATGTGGGGGGGGGGGGGGGGGAAGGGACGGACAGGGATGGGGGACTGAATTCTGAGTGAACTTAACGGCCTATTATCCTCACTGTCTCAGTCTCTGCCAGTGCAAGTAACAATAATAGATAAAGCCCAATGGCTGGATATTTCTGCAAATGTTATAAGCATTGTGATATTTAACAACATTCACATTTGAATGCCTCCATTAGGCTTCAGTTAATTTTCTAGCTCTTATCTCCCTCCTTCAAAAGCTCTTTGAAGTTTCAGGAAGATGATACTGAACCATTTCACTTCCAGCTCACACTTGGAAGGTGTTCTTTGCAAATGAAAGGACTGAGAATAACATTTTATTTAAATCAGCGCTTACTTTTGAACATACAGTTCTGTTAGGAAGTGGAGTCTTCACAGACACCTGGAACATAAGGGATGCTAGTCATTCTCCATTTGCGCAAGTGAGAGAAACAGAAATTTTCACTGCCAGATCTCAAGGTCTTTCCCCAAGAACGCAGTAATTTGGCTGGATTCACAACAATATAAATCTATGCAGTACTATAAGGCCCTTTGTATGTTGGGACCAAAAACAAGTTGATTTTTTAAAAAAATATAGCTATCACTAATCAGGTCCCAGTAGCTTCCCTCTGGATAGGACTTTTTGCCTGAGAACACTGCTAAACACAAGAGAACACATATGGCGGTTAGTTTATAGACTAGTTTGGCTAGCATGGTCCTCAAAAAAATATCTCTGTTTCCACACGTCATGGAATATGTGTTTGAGCCCTTCTGGCAGCAACAATCCCATTTAACATGGTCATAGCTAACACAGTCTTATTTCCATTATATACTGAGCCTTAGCTCCAACTTTATGTCTAGTTTAATCTGATTATTTTTCTTTCCTTCTTCTGCCCAACCAGCGCTACTTGCTATGCATTTGCTAGGTTTTTAACTGGAAATACTGGCTAATGGACTTAAGGCGCAGTAGATAAACTGAAATTTTTCTGCATTTAGTTAGCAAACCACACTTTGTGATTCTGCTCTGTCTCTGCTACCTAAGGCCAGGGGCATCAACTGGAAACCAAGCAGTAAAGGCAACAAAACCCAAAAGCTACAGTTAAAAGATATATACAGAATGCTGACCCAGCTGCTTCTAGCACCACTATCAGACTCTGCAGAGATGAGGCAAAAGGCCCTTGGGCAATGATTACTCCACTTATGTCATTTAGGGCTTTTACCCAACCAAATGCATATACAAACACCAATTACAATTTTTTTAAACCACCATTTTTGTTTACTGCATCAACCAAACTAAATGTGCAGCAACTGCAACCTAACACTAGAAAGCAAATAATATGAGCACTATTGATTTTTTACAGCAGTGATGATCTTACATTTATATAATGCCTTTCATGTTCAAGTATCTATAGGCACCTTACAACCTCAACCATGAAATTAAGCTACCCTACAGAGGAAAATGATATGACTCAACAACACTACACACTCCTTTTAGGCCAAAAATATAGAAGAAAATATTTTTTTCATCCTGAAACTGTTAGAAAGATTTTTAGTAGGTTGAACATAATTATCAGGGCAGGAACTGGACACCTGGTCTCTTGCATAAATAAATACACAAATACACAAAATAAAAATAAATCTGTGGGCTCTGTACAAAGGATGGATCTTTACGACTGGACGCAAGGGTAAAATGTGTTTGCACACTATCACTTAACATCATTTTCATAATGGTCACCACAAACTGCATAGCTTGCAGTCACTACACATGCAGACACAGAATAGGTGTGTAACTGCAGACAGGCTTCAGCTTAAAAATATGTCCATTAATAACAACTGTTTGTCAAGATATCTGTTTCCTTTCTCATCTGAAAGCCAGCAGCTCCCACAGCAATGTTCCCCTGTCAACAAGCTACAGAATTGTGTTGGTCCTCATTCAAAGAGATGAATGCAGCTGTTGAATCAGCAAAATGCCTCTACACCAGCTTCTACATTGGTTTCCCACCCAAGTACTGACCTGGGGCACATTTTCTTATCTGGAGACCTGGATTCTAATTCTAGCTTTGCAACGGCAATCAGGTGTAAACTCAGCCAAATAACTAAAATGGGAACAGCAACACTTCCCTACTTCTCAAGGACCTGGCAAGAATAACGTTCACTGATGTTGAAGGAATTTTAAGGACTGAGATCAGCATCATGGAAAACCTTATAAACAAAGAAATCAGTTAAAAGCAAGCAGCAATAAAGAGATGGTTACAAACTTTTAGCTCTGATTTTGCCTATAAACACACCTGAGAGATCTCTACAAAGACTGCCAGACCAAAAAGAAAACCTAAATTTAAATCTTACTCTAGGGTTTAAACACAGAATTTGGATTTTTCTAGGGACAAAGCCTTTTACTCTGGGATCCTACAGATTGTACGTGACTACTGATCCACTTTAAGTACCTGTGAAATATCTGAGAGTACTTTTTCCCCAGGACAACTGGGGCTAATTCAATTTAATTGCCATTCAAGTTACCTGTGTAAATCCAGTCCTTGTTGTGATATGAGTCAAAGCCTGGGATAATCAGACCCTAGATAAACCCAATGTCTGTTTTTACTCTAGGGTTGTCGCATAAATCAAGTCTCCTGGAAGTGGAAGAGGTTACTTACCGCCTGAGTGCATTTGTTAGCTCTGCAGCCAGTTCACTCTCGTTGTATGGTCTCAGCTCAGCTAGTGTTAACGGCGCTGTGGTCCCATCAGTGCATTCCTGAAAAATACAGGAGCATCATCTCACCTAAAGTTATTCATCACATTAAGGGATGAACTAACCGCACCTTTAAGCTCACAAATGCTTTTTAAACTGAGCCAAAACAAAGTAAACACCGCACAATTCACAAGGTAGATCCACACTCCAAGGGCCAGACATGCCATTTCACATACTCATCTAGTGTTTTATGCAACATTTCACATTATTGAACATATTCCCATTGGTGTCTTATTTCACTTCACATGTGAACACCATATTTAAAGGGGAAAAATACCCACTGACCAAACAAAAATAATTCAAAGGATGTTTCACCAAAATATCCATAGGAAAAAGGACACTGCTCCACTCCTCTGCACCCCCTTCCCCTTTTTAAAAAAATTTTTTTTTACTGGTGAGGTTTTCTGGGGACACAGAAGCACAGATGAGGGAATGAGGGGTTACAGAATTTAAAATATTCCCATTTTCACAGCAAAATTATAAACATAAACAAACATAGCTTACGTTAATTAAAGGAGAAATAATTTCCTCCCCATTCATTGAAACCTATCTAGACTATAGGATAGGATTTTAATTAAATCTTTAGCCATTCTCTAGGGATATGCGGTCTAGTGGATCCCAGTTTATTTCTGGATACGTATATCCTCTGTCATCAACTTGCAAGGAGAAGCAATCCTTGCAAGACCATAATAATCTTTGCAATAACAGTTAGTGGGGTTGGTTCTGACTGCATTCCTCCCCAGAAATAATAAGTGCACTTCAGTCAGGGGATATAGGATCAAAGTGTTCCTAAATCCTAAAATGGAACATGCCACTTAATACCTGAAAGAATCAGAAAGGATTGTGCAAATGTACATGAAAGCCAGAGTGGTTATCATGCTTATACCTCCTGGGGGAAGAAATGTGATTAATTATGTTTACTCTGAATCTGGAAACTCATTAATTCCTGACCTTGCCCATTTTGTCTTTGCTGCTACTGCTGGTGGAGCTGAGAGATCTCATTCTCTGTTCTTTTTGCTCTTCCACCTCAGACTTAAGGTGCTCGATGTGGACCAGGTAGGCCTGTTCTTGGGCTTCTCGGGTACTTAGTTTCAATTCAAGCGCTTTCTTTTCTTTCTCTAGAAGGTACAGTTGTGCCTTTAGCTCAGCCATCTCCTCCTGTTGAAGAGAGGCAGATCACTTCAAAGAATTGTACATAAATGGGAGACAGTGTTTAGACAAGGAATTAAATCACATCTGCATTACTTACCAATGCTTCAAGCTTTAGTTTGATTTTCAATGTATTTTTAATTTGGGAATCACAATATATAAGTGTGCTCCTGTAACAAGAATCATTTCCAGACACATAACAGACAGGAGATTTCTACAATAAATGTGGTTTTTTTAACTGAATGAGATCATGTGTGTTATATTTATAAGCAAAAACAGCTAGGAAAACACTTGCAACCTGCATTCATTTGGACATAAAAGACCCAACTGAGAGATAAGTCTAAGTTGGTGCAATATTTGCCTCTTTCTGGGTACACCAATTAGCATTTCGACTGTCACAACCAAATTCAAAGGCGGTTAACTTACATGCTAAGAGAGGCATGGTAGTCTAAGGAAAAAATAATTAATTTAAATTAATGTAGCTATCTTAAATGGATCAAACCTAGGTAGCTGACAAACTATAAAGAACAATGTAAACAAGGAACTGTCACCCAGTGGGTTTGTTTCTATAAGATCCCACAGTTTTGTTCTTGGCCTGATGCTAATTATTATTTTTATCAATGATCCATAAGAAAATGTAAAATCATTATTGATAAAATCTGTTGGAAACACAAAAATTGGTAAAAAGGAACATAGTAATGGGGACAGGTCAGTTAGACTTGGCATCACTTGAACTGCATGCACTTGCATGTGCTTTAATATAGCAAGGTCATATCATGTAGGAACAAAGCATATAGGTCACTTGTATGGGACTGGGCAATGTATCCTGAAAAGCAGGATTTAGAGATGACAGTTCAATGGTAATTCATTGAACATGAGCTCCCAGTGGAATGCTGTAGAGAAAAGGGTGGGTACAATCTTGGAATAATTTGCAGGGGAGTATCAAATACAACTTACTGGGTGGTACTGTACCTCTTTATATGCCATTTCTGAGACTGCTAATGAAATACAGTTTCCAGTTCTGGTGTTCACACTCCAAAGAGGAAGATGGAATTGGAAAGGGTTCAGGAAGAGCTACAAGAATGACTAAAGGAAGATCTGACCTAACAGACTTGAAAAAAACTGGTCTGTAGGGATTTTTGCCTTCCTCCATAGTGGGAGGCATAGCTCTCTTTCTTGGATCTCAAGTGCACTTTAACAGCCCTTGCAGCACCAGCACACTGACTGCTGTTAATCCCCTACTTTACCTGTGGCAGGTTGGGGTGCTTTGGTGCCCTTGGGCTATGTGCCTTGTGGTTATGCCATAGAGTTGATTGTGTAGTGTTAGGAATAGGTTAGATAAGGACTTGTATAAATAAGATTGTTTGGATAGGGATTATCCCGGCTTGAGCAGAGTTTGGACTAGATGATATGATTCCACCTAAGTTTACTGCACAAAAGATTAAGCAGCAACTTGATCATTGTCCACATAACATCTACTTGCAAAAGAGATTTCTGTTAGTAGAGATCTCTTTGATCTAGCAGAAAGAGAGATCCAGCAGCTGGAAGCTGAAGTCCAACAAATATGCTCAAGAAAGAAACTTTTTTTTTTTTTTTTCCACAATGAGAGTAATTAACCATTCATAGTTTCATAGTTAGTAGGGTCGGAAGGGACCTGAGCAGATTATCGAGTCCGACCCCCTGCCATGGCAGGAAAGAGTACTGGGGTCAAACGACCCCACCAAGGTGTACATCCAGCCTCCTACTAAAGACCCCCAGGGTAGGAGCCAGCACCACTTCTCTTGGAAGTTGGTTTCAGATCCTAGCCGCCCTGACCGTGAAGTAGCGCCTCCTGATGTCTAATCTGAATTTACACTCTGCCAGCTTGTGACCGTTATTCCTGGTCACTCCTGGTAGTGCTTGGGGGAACAGGGACTTCCCCAGTGCCTGCTGGTCCCCTCTGACTAGTTTGTTACAGGCCAATAGATCCCCCCTCAGCCTTCTCTTGTGGAGGCTGAACAGGTTCAGGTCCCGTAGCCTGTCCTCATGCGGCCTGCCCTGCTGCCCCCTGATCATGCGAATGGCCCTCCTCTGGACCCTCTCCATGTTGTCCACATCCCTCTTGAAATGGAGTGCCCAGAACTGGACGCAGTACTCCAGCTGCGGCCTGACCAGTGTCGCATAGAGGGGGAGGATCACCTCCTTGGACCTGTTTGAGATGCACCTGTGGATGCATGACAAGGTGCGGTTGGCCTTCCTGACTGCATCCCCACACTGCTGGCCGATATTCATCTTGAAGTCAATGATGACTCCAAGATCCTTTTCTGCCTCTGCACTGATGAGAAGGAAGTTCCCCAGCTTGTAGGTATGCTGCTGGTTCTTCCTCCCCAGGTGCAGCACCCTGCACTTGTCAGTGTTGAATCCCATCCTGTTCTCATTCGCAAACCCCTGTAACCTGTCTAGGTCCGATTGCAGCCTATTCCTCCCTTCTAGCATGCCCACTTCTCCCCACATCTTAGTGTCATCAGCAAATTTGAACAGGGTGCTTTTTACCCCCTTGTCCAAGTCACTGATGAAGATGTTGAACAGTGCGGGCCCGAGGACCAAGCCCTGGGGGAATCCCACTGCCCAAATCCCTCCAGGTTGAATAGGATCTGTCCACCACCACTCTCTGGGTGCAGCCCTCCAGCCAGTTAGTGACCCATTTGACTGTGCAGGTGTCGACACCACAGTCCCCCAGTTTTTTAATGAGAACGGGGTGAGAGACAGTGTCGAAGGCCTTCCTAAAGTCCAGGAAGACTATGTCCACTGCTACCCCTGCATCTAAGGATTTGGTGATTTGGTCGTAGAAGGCCACCAGGTTGGTCAGACAGGACCTGTCTCTAATGAACCCGTGTTGGTTTCACCTAAGCATAATCTCCCCCACTGGCCCCTCAGACATGCGCCAGGGTAACTCTCTCAAAGAAGCTTACCCAGGATCGAGGTAAGACTAACTGGCCTATAG